ATCTGTGCTCTTCCCACCACGGGTATCGAAACCCAGATTCTAGGGTTGTAAGTCCGCAGACATACCGCTGTGCCACTGGGGGGGCAAAAATCTTGGTAAACATGTCTGAAATTGATATATTAAACTGATTAGCTTTGAATGTTGCTATAAAGATAAACACGGTGTGCTGCTGTAGTATACTTTAATTCATTTCCATTCTTTCAAACAACAGCTGCGTACAGGCTATACTGTACTGGAGGAAACCTAACCGTCATAACATGGTAATCGTCTTCAGACAAAAGAATCTACGACAGGATATACAAATCACCCTTTTTTTTTATCGCACCTTCCTGATTCAAAGACCAAGTTTTTCAAGATGGTAAACCATCACGTTAGGAGTTGATGAATATTTTCAATAGAACACACAGCAGTAGCACTTCTGACCACATGGTGATAAACACAATGTAAGTTTTATCTCGCCTTTCTTGGAGCCCATGTATAAAACATAAGGCAGCACTTGGCTCACTTTGCTTAGGAGTTATATACAAAACACAAAGCAAAACTTGGCTCGCTTTATTTTAAGCTTACTTATGTACAAATCACAATGAAGGAGTTAGCTCGTTTTGTTTGGGATCTATAAACAAAACACAAGACAAAACTTGAACCTTTCCGCCTGCACTGTTTGTCCATAGATAACTATAGTTTCAACTGCCCCACGCAGGCCCAGCATAACGAAGGTGCAACTTCCTTAGGACGAGATTAGCACCTAGCAAGACTAAATGTATGTTTACATTTCTCGACATCTTATCTGTGATAAAATGTTGAGGAAAAGCACAACTAAATATAGATAATCACGTTATGGTGGTGGTGGTGGAGATGAGGTTAACTCATTTACATATCATAAATGGTCACGTCTTTGTTGTTACGTCACTGGACTCCTGCTATTTAATTTATAAGAATCGGTCAAGAAATCACACCACGTACAAAATCAAGTTTTAGTCAATTTTACACATTTAAAGAGCCATTTATATATATATACATACTTTAGGAATATCTTTCTTATAGATAAGTATTCGTGATTAGTTATTTTCTTTAAATGTTATTGTTGTTGTTTACTTCAGAATTTTCCCTGTGCAACAGAAAACACAGTATGTGGGTTCGAAAGAGTTTCATACCGTGTGGTTGTTCGACTACCTTGTTGTGGTGCGTTAGTATGTCAGAGAATCGGAATTCGCCACTTCTGCCTCAAGCCGTGAGTAATTTACCTTCACGTTAGGGTTAAGAATCTACGACAAGATATACAAGTCACCCTTTTTTTTATCGCACCTTCCTGATTCAAAGACCAAGTTTTTCAAGATGGTAAACCTTCACGTTAGGGTTAAGAATCTACGACAGGATATACAAATCACCCTTTTTTTTATCGCACCTTCCTGATTCAAAGACCAAGTTTTTCAAGATGGTAAACCTTCACGTTAGGAGTTTTATAGTTAATATAGCTCACTATGTGGTCAAAAGTGCTACTGGTCTAGTCAGTATAGCTCACTATATGGTCAAAAGTGCTACTGGTCTAGTTAATATAGCTCACCATGTGGTCAGAAGTGCTACTGTACTACTTAGTATAGCTCCGCATGTGGTCAGAAGTGCTACTGGTCTAGTTAGTATAGCTCACCATGTGGTCAGAAGTGCTACTGGTCTAGTTAGTATAGCTCACCATGTGGTCAGAAGTGCTACTGGTCTAGTTGATATA